ATATATATATAAAAAGTCTAAAATTATTCTCAAGTTAGTAACATAATTTATATTTTTCTAGAAGGACGATACTGTTGAGTGGTCCCTTTTCAAAAAATACAAGAAATTAACAAAAAGCAAAGAAATTAAGAAAATTATGGAAGATTGGAAGAAGGATGCAGAGGGCAAACTGATCACGAATACTCTGATAAAAAATTTAATCAATTAATCAAAAAACCAATTAGGGTTTGTTATGTTTTATATTTTCTTAAAAAATAATGCGGGTTTTCAGGTGTATTATTCGGTTGTTCAATTTTTGGGTAATCCGTCGGTTTCGGTTTCAAATGCCCAGGGCTATTATCGGTAACTGACGTCTTGGGTGGTACGGCCACCGACTGAACGAATGCCCAGCCCACAGTGAGTCACTTAAGGCTCGGTTTCGGTTTTACCAAACAAATGGGCCTCCAAATTCCCAACACCCAAAATGGAGGTAAAAATAAAATTTTGATTTAATTCTGAACTGTAAAGTAGTTTTTTTCAAATAATTATGCATGCAAAGATTATTCCGGCACACGGTCTACCGGAGTTACACCAAACAACACGAAACATCTGCAGATTAATTTGCACTAACAGGTCCAGAACGAGGTTTTTTTCTGCCCCACTTTGCAATAGCAGAACGACGTCTTCTGGCGCCCCACCCCTCGCGGGATATTAAGTTATGAGGAACTCTTCGAGACTCTTTAACGGCAGCCCTTCTAGCAACAGAGGACAACTTATCAGGCTCCCGAGCCTCTGGGAGAATCGGAAATGTGCGAATATTGACTGCCGGTGCTGCTTGCATTGAAAGGAGTATTGCTGCTGCTTCTGCTTCTGCTTCCTGATCCGTCCCTTCTGCTTGCATTGCAAGGAGATTATTTCTTTTTTCGGCTCTGAGATCTTATGGTATGGTGGAGCTCAGAGCTTATGATATGGTGGAGCTTATGGCTCTTTATATAAGATTCTCTGCGGGTACCACCTGCAGCAGGGAAATATAAAAAAAAAAAAAAAAAAACCTTTTTGTTTCTCACTTTGATAAAGCTGGCTCTATATTCCAAAAGTCATCCTTTACCCTTATGGCTCTCCGATTTCGTTCCCTCTATCGTTACTTTTTATTCTTTGATAAGACAACCTGATGTTGACGATGAACAAAGGTTGCCTTCCTTCCCTTGTCCCTTTAGGATAAGCCAGTCCTTAATCATGTAATTTGTTT